GAACTTCCTTCATTCCGTTCCTGAGCCCTAGCTCCAGAACGCGCTCCAGCGCTTTTAGAACGAACGATTTTTAGATTTTAATTTTAGTAAAAGAGAAAACGCTTTTAGAGAAGCAGCTCTAAAATTGGGCTCTTCTAGAAATGTTTCGGTTTAGACCCAATAAATTAACAAAAATTTTTTAGGAAATTTACAGAACAATGACTTGTAAAGAAGAAAAGGTTTCCACATTCTTTAAAATAAAAAGAGGTTAAAATGCCAGTTTAGTGTCTGAAAGGGTGTAGAAGTTTTGTAAATAAACGCATGGCTGACCAATGGATAAAGTGACACAAATTCTGCTTTTCAATCTTGCTGAAAATGTTCAGTGATAAATCTTTTGCTCTTTCTTAACTAAATCGTCAAATTTAATATATTCCATCAAATACACAAATATAAATAAAGTGTTCTAATTTAAGTTTTTTTTTTAAATCTTAAATTACATTTATGTTACAAAAATTATAAATTAATTTATCAAATTTCTAACTATAATAATAATATTCTTTAACTTTTTCTTTTTAATTAAGAAATGCGATTAAATCTTCTGAGTGAAGCAATTAAATAAATATAAAAAGAAAAAATAAAAAGCATAATTCACTTTCAAATTTAATTTGTGTGCTTCAGTTTAAAAATAATTAATATGATTGCATTGCTCACTTCTTTTCTACATACACACATACTAAATTCTGCTATATATACTTTGTTTCCCTTTAAATAATTATATTTATTATAAAATAGAATTCTGTAAATGAATGCAAAAACGTGTTACATTATCATTGCATTTATTTATAAATTTAATAGGCAATTTAATTTTCATGGGCATAGAGACACATTAAAACATTAAAAGAGTGTAATGTGTATTTAGGCAAGAAATGAAACTCACATGTGCATATTTAAAGTAAATTGAATTGAAAACAATTAAAAATTGTTATCTAAATAAATAATGTGCATTTGTTACTATATATATATATATATACAAATATATGTAAGCTGCATGTATATATAATAGTATAATGAAAAACCATTTGCTTACAATATTACACCAGTTAACATAAAATAATCGTATGTGTAATGACTTTACTATTGTCATTATCATTATGTACTTAGTTAGTAGACATAATATGTATTTCATGTACTTAATTATGTTGCTTTTATTGTTTTGTTATGGTCGCTTAATCTTAAATAAATTTCACTATATTTAAATTTATAGAACGTGTCTATGACTGGAAAATGAGAGAGACAGAGTTGCAAGGAGAAAATTCAAAATTTTCATTTGACCTGCTCTAACATTAAAAAAAGGAGTAATTTCTTGGGACTCACAAATTCAAATAAAAGTTATAATGCACCTCAAATCGAGAATGTTATTAACTTAGGCTGTACTTGCTGAACATAATCTTTACATGTTGTACTTACAAGACGTAATGTTATGGTATACCTGTAAAGATTGAATAAGAAGGTAGTCGATCTAAAATAACGTACTTAGGCAGACATGCATTTTTAGTTTTGAAACTGTTTGATTGCATGAGTATATACATATTCAAGCGCGCAGATATGGAACTGTATGATTGCACGCAATCAAGGAACCAAACAGTTTGTAATTTTTCATTGCTTAAGCAGAAATTGCAAAACAGAAAATTACATGCCTGTCTAAATCCTAAATCTAAAAGCGTGCAAAATGGTTGAATATCTAACGAGCAAATACGAGGTTATAACTCGCGTAATACTAATTTTTTGATTGAAGGTTGTGCACCGTAATTCGTAAGTTTTCCAGCTGCTGTACTACAATCTGTCGCTTAGCGGCAATTTTCACGATGGATAGAATTAAAGTTATTCCTAAAGTATTCTCTATAAAGCATCTGCTTTCCTTCAGATTCAAAAAAGGAAATTCTCTTTTACTACGATCGTTTAATTTAAATAAAATCTGATTATCACATAATATAATGTAAGTTGTTGCTTTTAAATTACAACTATTTTCAATCATTTAAGAAGCGTTTAAAATTTCATTTAATAGCAATTTTTGTGCTGCAAGTGTCTTTTAATTTGTTCATGATTTTATTCTAAAGTATTAGAAAGCCATAATTCAGTCTATCTGGACATCTATAAATGTACATATTCAAATACAAAGTTATCACATAAATTAATTTAACTAAAAGGGAAAAATTATTTAAATGAAAAAAACAATTTTAAAAGTGTAAAATTGTGGTCCAGATGCAATACTCAGCTCAGATTATATTCATGCTAGGGCAGTTAAATAACACATCGAATTCTTAAAAAATTTTTAACTTATACTTATATTACTCAGATGTTAAGTAAAAGTTAATATGAAGTAAATACTTATCCTACCACTTTTTTCTTAACAATACACGCTTAGTTTTATATTTATGTATGTTTTTTTATATAAAAATAGGTATTTACGTTTTTCTGAACATTCATTTTTGTAAATTTAATGTAAGTATGTATATATACTAAATACACATAATTTTGTTGAATTGCAAATTTATGTTATAAACATAAAGTATGATTATACCTTCAAGGACATAAAATTATTTATAATATTTTATATAACAAAGGATATAATTTTAGTATAATGAAAATAAAGACTCTTAAAATGAAGATTCTAATTAAAGTCTACATTTTTAATGTTTTACAAAAAAAAAAAAAAAAAAAAAATAGAAAAAATAATCAAAGAGAGTTTATAATTAAATAAAATTTTTTATCACATGATTAATTTGCTCTTTACTTTCATAATGATGAAATTAAAAGATAAGTGTTAAATTTAATTATTTAATTTTTAATAACCGTAAATAATATAAATGATTTTATTCATTTAAATAAAATTAAAAAACATAATTGCCATAAATTGGTACAAAAATAATATTCAAAGAAGAAAAATCTCGGAGTTTTGATGAATGAAGTACGCCAATTGCTAGACATTTTATATTACAATGAGTATATGCGTATTTTTATACTATATAAATAAAAATTATTAAAAATACAAGATTTTAGCGGGACTTATGTTTTAGCAAATGCAAAAATATGTGCATATCAAATCCCAAAATCCCAAATATGTACCCTGTATATACCCACTCACCTTAACATATTTCTCAGAGAATCTGAAAAAAAAGCTCGTATAAATTGGAATAGGAATAAAAAGCGATGGGGTACGAATGGAAGAAAAATCCTGCTAGTTTCCTCAAAAAACAAGTTTTTAGTGGCCCACTAAAATTGAAACTTCTTTTGAACATTATAAAGAGGCAACCGAACCTAAAAGTACGAGCATTTATCTTGAAATTACTATTATTTTTTACTAAATTACATTTGCGTTAATAATCAGATTATAAATTAATTTTTATGCATTATGTTTAACTAGATAACAAGTGTACAATGAATTTACATTATACAGTACAGTCATAATGCAGCATCTTCTTCGTTGTCCTATGTATAATAATTAACAACATAAACAAAAAGCTATCAATTACAAAAACCACAAAAAAAATACTTACATTGACAATATCAATTCAATCAAAAACATTACAACTATTCAGCTTAAAAGAAAACTAAAATGCTATGAATTATATACCTACATGATTATTGTTGCTGTTGTGACAATGAAACGGCTATATACAAAGTACATGAATAACCAATATTACAGCTATTTACCATGAACTAATAAGAAAACATTTTTTCTTGTGGTAGCTTTAGTATGGTGGGATAGAAATTTAATGTATATAAACATTATGGCGTGGTAAAAAATATTTATAATTACGTTATAGCATGAGAGAAATATTTTTCTTTCTCTCATATTGCTGACTTATTTTATTGCATATATTTACATTATATACATAAACAATTTAATATTTTCTGAAGTTGAAAGAAAAACTTACATTTAAAGAATCACTCTTCCTTACTTATGACTGACATAAAAATAAAAATAATTTGTTGCACCTTAAATTTAATTTTTATATAAAAAGTAGAGAAAAGAAAAATTTTATAATAATAAGGATTTTATTAAGACTCATTATTTCTGCCCTTGAATATAGAATAACAATATTATGTATTTAGATTTGTATATATTTTTATATTATAAAATTTATTTAAAACGTTCAAAAGAAATATTTATTCATTCAAAAAATATAAATATTATGTAATATAATCAAATATACATATATGTATGTAAATAATTTCTGCATTTTTGAATAGTTTTTCATTCTAAATTATTACATTTTATTCAAAACAAAATTTTTTTTAAAATAAATATTATTTCTTTTCCATTATATCAAGCTTCCCATAACAAGTTATTAAAGCCTCTTAAAATATGTGTGAAATTGCAAAATAGGAATTATTGTAAGTAATAATCACTGTAATATATAGGTGGATATGGACATATTTCTAATTATGCAACACATTTTTTATTTAATTTTTTGTTTTATTAAAAAAGATTTAGAGGTGGAATGCATCCATGAATATTAATATACTTTTACAGCTGATAGGACTATCAGATTTTGAAAAATATCCATAAAATTTGAATATTGAAATTTGCAAAAAATTAACTTTTTGTAAATACATGCCGCATAAATTTTCATTTTTAATGCAAACCACAATTAAACAAATATTGTATCCATAAGAAACAAAAAAATAAAGTTCTATAAAGCAAAATCTTTTTGCCAAATTCAATACTTTTAAAAAACTTTTTTGCCCATGCCAATTTTTAAAATCAACAAGTTTAAAAAAATTTTGAAATGCTTTCTTTAAAAAATTTATAGATATTTTTTCTTTTGAGTCTTGTGTAATGATTTCTAATATTTCTGCTATATTTATTTTAAATTGATTTACAAAACCTTTAAAATATTACAAGACCTTTCAAATTTTAATTTATTTAAATAATTTTTAACATTTTGGTAAACATTATTAAAAAGAAAAACAGAGTTTACCTATTTTCTTTGACTACACATAAGGATTAATATGGGTTTTCTCTATACTTTAATAATAAAATGTACAAATATAAATGCACAATTATTTTTTTCCTCTTTATTTTTTGTTTTCTTTTTATATTGTTGGAATTTCTTAAGTTCTAGTTGTTTTAAATACAAAAACGTTTATAATTTCACTAAGAATTTCACTTATAAAGTCAAGAGTTAGGGCGTAAAAACTATTGCCATAAAAATAAGTGGGTTAAGAATTTTTTCATTTTTCAAATGGTGGTGACTATATAAATTAATATTTTCTTCAGTTTCTTTCTTCAGGACTTCTTTTATAATTGAAAACAGAAATATTAGCAACAGAATAGAAAACTTAAATCCTTTAGTTTAATTCTTTTCATTAAATTTTTAATAATCACAATTTACACATGCTGGCATCGTATACATTAATGAATATTCTCATTATATATTTTAGGCATGTTTGTACATATTCACATACAAATACATGCTAAATTTATTTCACAATTTTGTATGTTTGTAACAAATTTGTAATAAAATTTATGGTAATGACTACATTTTTAATGCTAGGATTTCTTAATTAAATATTGTTAAAGAATTACAAAAATTACACATTTGTTACTTTTGTTGAAATATGTAAGTATACTTGAAAAATGGACAAACTCTAAGGTTGAGGATATTATTGTTGTATTTGTACCATATCTAAAGAAAGTGCAATTTTTCTTTATTTATTTACGGTCAAAAAATAACAATTAAACAAATGTTTTGCAGAAGAAAACTACCTAACCCAAAAATCATGCTATCGATTCACTAATATTTTTGATTAAATTTTGAAACTAGTTCTTGTATCTGTACTTGAAAATACATAATATCTATATTTAGGCTGCAAATTAAATTTTGTCGTGGTTTATTTTTCAACGCTCTTAATAATTGAATTTTGTCTAAATTTAAGTATAAAAATCATATTTAAATTAGATAACTATAGATTTTCAACAGTAAAACAATAATAATAATTAATAGAATTTCATGTCTTCATTAAACTTAAACAACACATAATAGTACATTATTAATATTTTGATTACCTTCCTTTTTAGCTATTCTTCAGGCGCTACTAATAAATTTAAGTGACCTTTTGTGTTTAAACTACCCAAAAACTGTTCCTCATCTCCTCTTATTGACAAATCTGCACCTGGTTGTAACAATTTTCTTTCTTTTATCATTGCTGCTCTCTTCCAACGTGAGCTTTTACAATTTTTGCAAGTTTCTTTTGGCATTTTATCAACGGAAACAGTTCTATTAGAACAATCCTGGCACTCAAAGAAACGTTTTTCTGCGTCAACCACTTTTAAAGGATGATGTTCTTCTTTGCATCGATCACTAGCTGAGAATGCCGTGTATTTGCATTTTAAACAAATAACAGCTTTGCAGGCAATCTTATAAGTATTTAACATTTTTTCTTCCATTTGCTCTTTTTTTTCTAATTTATTAAAATATTTTTCTTGTTCCTCTAATTCTCTCACATTAACTAAATTTGCATGAGAGGAAGTAGCCATTATAATTTTTTGAATTCGTGTCTTAGCTTCCTTCGCTTTGATTTCCTCCTCTAGTTTTCTACGTTTTGATTCAGGATCATTATGAAGTTCGTGAAGTTCATCGATTGCTCTTTTCTTTCCATTAACTGTTCCACGATATTTAATAAAATTTGGATCAGATTTTTCAATTGGTTTGTTTTTTAAAATTTGTATCGCCTTTAATTTTGCTGCATCTGCTTTACGTAAATTAAAATTTATATCTAATGAAAAGTTGTCTTTTTTTAAAGTTGGTGTCTTATTTAATACAGTTAGTGGCGAATTCAGAGATTTTGTTAATTGACTTGCATATTGTGGTTTATTTACAGTTACAGAAGGATTTGGTGGAGATTTGGATTTTTGTTTCAATATTGATTCTGCTCCAGAATTTAAAATTTGAATGCGTCTTTCATCTTCTTCTTTCAATAGTTTAAGCCTCTCCAAATCTTTAATTCTCTGTTTCATGTTAACTTCAACGTGTCCAGCTATTTTCGACTGAATTTTAAATCTTGATGCATAAGGTACATCTTTCTTTTTATCTCCGGCTGTATGATTTATATTAGCAGAATTTGGATTATGGTAATATTCAGATAAAGTCATCATTCTCTTTTGGTCTTTTGCTATTAATTTAGCACTTTTCTTAGCTGGTACTGCCACAAATGACTGTCCACCATAAAATACCTCATTTTTTCCTAATATCTTATTCCGCAATTCTTGAAGACCACGTCCAGCAGTAGATGACTGTAATTCGGAACGTTTCGACATTTTACCAAATTCCTGTTTAACGTGATAAATGCAATAGTCACATTCACCTAAAAAATAATATTTATGGTTTTTAAATGAGTTCACTTAAAACTGAATGCGTACTTACTTAAATTTACAACGGCCGAACAATTCTCACCATTTTTCTTTTTTGCCTTACAAATTCCAAAATCTTTGGATTTCCCTAAAATCATCACTTGATTTTCTTTATCAATTGAAAGAGCAGCAACATCACTACTGTCAGTTCTTTTATCAAGTTTACGGGGATTTAAAATGGCAATCACACTACCGACAGGAGTTTTCCACAAACCCGAATATGCAGAGTTGAATAGGAATAAGGAAACAATTTTAATGTCTCCTTTCAAATCTGAAATTCTCCATATACTGTAACTTCCTCCCTTTTTAGTTTCTTTTACAGGACTTTTATTTATTATAGCACCAGCAATAACCCAATCCTGGGATAAATCAGCATGTTCAATATGATATTCTAATCCTGCCATTGATACTGCTGTTTTATCTTTCATTCGATCAACTAGTATATTACTTGCAACTAATGGATTAACTAGCCGCATGTTAAAAACTGGATCTTTATATACCGAATTATCCACCTTTGTTAACCATTTTGACAAACCTTGCTGAGGTGATACGGGAGTTTTCTCCGGTTGATTTTGCAGTGGCTTAAATGAGCCAGTAATTGGTACCCTTCGTTCATTTTGAATTATTGTCGCATCTTTTTTAGGAGGAACCACATTACTAATTCGGTTTTTATTTTTATGAAATAAATTGTTTGAATTATTTAAATGTATATTCACTTCTCGACTTATCTCCGCATCCCTATTCTCAGCCTTCTTTATTTTTAGTTTCTTATTCAATTCCCTTCCATATTGATTATACTTTTGCTCCAAGAAATTTTTGACACCTTCTTCATCTGAAGAATCAAAGTCTCTTTCTAAAACAGAAACCGCATTTGGGATTTCTTCTTCAGTTTTATCCGTAGGCAAAACTTCACCTCCAAAAATTTTTGCAAAACTTTCATCGTTTTCTATACGTGGTGGTTTTTGAATGTTATCACTACCAGTTAACTCAGCAATTGCTAAATCCAATTCATCCAAATCATCATCCTTCGATTCTACTGTATTTTCCTTACTTTCAGACTTTTCTGCTGTCATTTTGCATTAATATATGGCAAATTATTTATATAAATTTAGAAACACAATTTATTAACGAAACTTCACTATTGTTTTTCAATTTAAGATCTGTACATTTCACTTTTACATTTAATATTTATAAATTTATCTGAGCTCTCAAATTCTAGAGTTATTTTCTTTTGAAAATATCCACAGACTTTTTTAATTCGCGCCAATTATTTTTTAAAACAAAAGTTAAGACACAATCCATTGAAAGAAATCCTCTTTAATTCCAAAGTGACTTCAAAACAAAAAGTTACTTATTATGCCGCTTACCGTCGAAATTTAGAACTAAAAAAAAAGAAAAACATTTTGTATCATTTACCGATATTTTTGTAAACAAGAAATATGTTTTTCGTTAGTACAGCTCTTGTTGGGTATCATTTATTAATTAAATTTTCTCGAAATTATGTAATTTAAAATTGCAATTATTTTCCTTATAAATTTTAACTAGCAAAATAATTGCGAAACTCAAAAATTTCGTAAGATTTCGTATACATATAATTTAATTTATTATATTAAATACTTTTCTAATTCACACAATTAAGAATCAAAAATTTAAAAGTGTTGTACCTAAATTATATAGTTTTTAATAAAATTTTCTTTTACTGCAATTCATATATTATGAACTTTAAATAACAAATATTCCAAAATCAGATTTTTCTTTTAATCAACTTAATTAATTAACACCTTAGGTTATAAAATAAGTCCGCTAACGAAAAATGGTGTTAATATACAACACAAAATGTCATTCAAATTACTGTCACATTTAACATGTTTATTGGGTAAATTCACAAAATTCTTAAAAGCACTCTGTAGTACTGTCGGTGTCGGCGAATTTTAATGTGTGCGTGCGAAGAAAACAAGAAAATTTTTTTAATTTCGCGAATAATTTAAATGGAAGAATTTTATAATTTGTTAAAAAATTACTAAGTGCATCTATTTAAAGTATTAATTTAAGTTCTTCCAAAAATTTAAAATTCATTTATAAAAATTATTTAAGATACAAAGCTTACCGCAAACTAGTTTTGGAATAAATTTTCTCTTGTCACGAAGGTAAAGAAAAAAAAAAACTTACTCTATATAGAAAAGATAAGAGTAGTTCTAAATAAAATTGAAAAAAATACAAAAAAACTTATAAACAAATTCGAATCTTAATAAAATTTAATTGATATAAAAAATCAAAATAGTTGTGCCAAATTAAGAAATATTTATTTCAGTATTTGTTTAAAAGAAAAAAAGATAAACATGGAAGGTTGTTTAAAAAAAAAGAGTAGCCATCAAAACCACATGCTTTGGAATTCTTTGTGGAAATTTATTAAAATACAAATTATTTGATATTTAAAATATTATTTAGGAAAAGTTAATTAATATTTAGAAAAAAAATATCATATTTTCTCAATTACTTAAAAAAAAAAGTTAATATATATGTAATTGGAATGCGTTTGTATTGACGGTGGAAAAAAAATGTGTAGGTTTTAAAATTTGACACATCTTGACGGCAACAAATGAGGTGTGAACTATATATGAATAAACTATGATGAGGATTTTGCACTTATTTTTAAATATCCTTGAAAAAATATTACAATTTTGGTTATAATTTTTATCTATTTTTAGATACCTTACGATTATGCGTTTTGAGGAATAAATCTTATACAAAATAACAGATTTTAAATGAAGTAAGAAATTACATTAAATCATAATTTCGCCAATTATTTCAATTTAAAAAAGGATTCTCATGAAAATTGAAATAATCTAACAAAATATTTGAAAAATAAATTTGTCATGCAATTTTTTTTTTTATAAGTTCTGTAACCTTTAGCCTTCAAGTGTGCAAATACTATTGATAACTCATAAATATTGTATGAGTTTTATTTAAATTTTTTTTTTACAATGAAATGAATTGATATTGATGATGAGATATTTTCTTCTACATTCAATATATTATGTATGTAATAAATATTATTTATTTCGATAGCGTTAATTTAAATTGATAAAAGAAAAGCTCCAGTTAATTGCACAAAAATTTGTTTAGAAAAATTACTTATATTCACTTAATTAAATTGTCATAGTTAATATTGTAAATTATTTGAAATTTATAGTTATTTGTTTTAAGAAGGTGTTTCGAAAGATAAAATTTAAGTTTATTCAGAAATATTTTATAACTATATACTTAACTGGTTAGATTTATTAATATTGTATTTCTCTACTTGTAAAACATTTTTACATATTTAAATAGGTACCTAGACATTAAAATAATTCTTAGTTACTTATTTTTTATTAGTCTTTCATTTAATAATCAATAGTCACATAGTTACTTAGCAGTGCTATGAAAATATGTATAACATTAGATATTTTCCCTGTGCAAGTATGTAATTGCGTGTAGATATTTAAATAATGTAAAAATCTAAAAAATTACAATTTATTAAATTAAGATGAAAAAAAATGTTGTTAAGTAAGTATGTATTTTGGGACATATGACACAGCGTTTTCATTCTATTTGCTTTTTTAAATCAATTAAATAAGTATCCTATAAACCTATTTATGTTAGGCAGATATATCTAGGATTATATATGAAAATAAGTATATCAAAAGCAATTTTTTTTTAAAGTAACTAATAACTTTGAATAGGTAAGTAGATACATACATTTACATACCTCCTATTATTCTTTCGGCGATATGTTGCCCTTAAGGTTTCCACAAAACTTAAATTAAAATTTCCTAATTACAAAAATTTTTCAATCTACAGAAATTCTTAATTTTGCATAATTTCCTACAAAGCGCTTAACAAAAAATTTTGCTTTTATTGTATTTTACTACTTTATAAATTATTTCTTACATACATATATTTTAATATGTTAAATTAAAACATTATTTAAAATCATATGCCTTTAGTTCAGATAGAAAGTTAGGGAGATAAATCCTTATTGAAATGTTATTCATTCATAATAATATCTTTCAGGATAAACTTATAATTTGTATTGTTGTTCAAGATAGAATCTTAATATGTCACTGGATTTATTTTGTTTTTTCTTTTCTTATAGACAAAATATTCTTCTAAAATAAATTTTCTCTGTCATTGTTCATAAAAGCATCAGATGAATCACATCATCAATATTAAAAATTAAAATAAAACAAAATAAAAATAACAAAAAAAAAGATATAAAAATTTAGCGAAAGAAAACAAAATTTATAAAAAAAAATGCTGAAAAAAAAAATGGAATTGGATTAAAAAATTGCAATAATGACTTTTCAAAATCAAAATTGTTGTTGAATTTTTCACAGAATTTTTGAATTTCCCCCAAAGTGTGTTTCGGCTTTTCATTCTTCAGTTATTACGCTTTCCGTTTTTTGCATTTCTTTTATTGTGTTTTTTAATTTTTTCTGTTTTTTTTTTTTATATACATATACTACGAAACGAAATCATCCATATGACTTTTCATTTTATGTACCCTACATATTTTCTGTGCTACCGTTATGCTATTTTAGTTGTAGTGTCTCAAAAATTTATTCAAAATTTAAAATAAGTATACGTACCTCTGTATACTTAAATATTTTGTATGCTTCTTAAGTATATTAATTAAGATCCAGGAGAGTAATTAATAACATAATTGTGTTGTATAGGTTTTTTTTTTTATTACAAATAATTTATTTTTATTTTTATTTCTGATATTTCATATTTCTTGTATTTTATTAAAATATGTTTTCAAACATATTAATCAAAATTTAATGATACAAAATAATCTTATGGAAAGAGGATACTAATGCCTAATTTCTAAACAATATCAATTAAATATAGAAATCAAATCTATCTATCACTTCTAAGTAATTCTAATTTTATTTCAGTAAAAATGTCATCTCTTAAATTTTAAGCAATTATTCTGAAATTTAGTTTTTTATAGTTTCCCAAAAATCAGATAGGTATATTATTTTAATGGGACAACATAGGAACCTATATACGTCGGTTTATAAGCGATTCAAGTTATAACATTATTAAATAAAATATTTCAGTTTCGTTTATTTTTATTAAAACGAAGTGCAAAATATTATACGTATTTAATTTATTTTTATTTCAAAACATCCAAAATAATTTGACAGACCAGTTTTGTATTTTTTTTTCAGTTTAGTATTATGCTTAAAGTAGATTTAAATATAACTGTTGAAATTGATTGTATTTGTCTCATTCCTTTAGTTCTTGTAAGAGTTATTAAAACTTTTTCATTTAAAATCTTCTATTTTTTAAATTTATTTTTTTCTTTTATATTCAGCTACAGTGTGACGTTTATCAATTGATATTTGGCAGAAAATTAAAATTAATTATAAATTAAAATAATTAATTATTTTAATTTCGATAAAATGTCCTCATATCCACAAGAAATTTTACTCATATACATACATATATACATATAGTTATATTTTTGTGTTATATATCATTATTTTCCATACTTAAGTATACAATATGTATGTATGTACAGAAAAAAAGTATTAAGTATATAATATAATTTTTTTTTTACATTTTATATACATGCATACTTTCTTTTTAAAATTTTTCACTAAACAACACAGCATAAAATTGAAAAAGAAAGAAAAGTTCTACTTCAGTTGAATTTAGAGTACACAAGAAACTATGTGTACTACGGTAGTAGCTTTTCTTCTCTATATTTACATAAATGTATAAAAAGAAAAAATTATAAAATAAAAAATAAATAGATAGTTTTTATTTTATATACATCAATATATATATTTATGTAAAAATATGTATGTATATATGCATATACATATATACATAAAATAAGTAATACGTGAAAAATAAAGAGAAGCTTTCTTTTCGGTTTATTTGTTTTTTTTTTTATATAAAAGAAAATTGTAATAATAAAAAAATTTTCATTTTTAACCAAAAAAAAAAAAAAGGAAAATAAAATAAAAAGTATAATTTAATTAATATTACATTTTATTTATTAATTATTTTTTAAATACAACCTCAATGAAATTTAAAATTTTTTTTTTTAATAATAATAAACAAATAATTGATTAAAGTGTCAATCAATAGAAGTAGTAGAGTGTGCTCATATTACTTAATAAGAAAAGAAGTAAAAATAATTTTTATTAATTATTTTATTAATTTTTTTTAATTTTTTGTTAACTTTTTTAAATTACCAAATCCAAATCTATAAAATAAAATTATAATAATTGTATTTAAGTTTGGTGTAATAAAATTGTTATACAAAATGCCAATAATGAAAACAAAACAGAAATTCTTTAATCCAATCTAACAATATTTTAATTACTAAGTGTAGTTTTAATTTAAAATCAATTATTAATCAGTGTTGCTGCTGTTGCTATTACGACGATTACTACTTCTGATAAATTTTTTTCTCTTACTATATTTTTTCTCTTCTCATTTGTTTTCGGTTTATTTTTTATTTATAAGAAAAAAAAACATTTTATTTATCGTCGTTCGTCGTGTGTTCTTAATTTCTTATGTACTTTATTTTTTCCTTTTTCTTTTTCAAGTATTTTTCTTTTGTACCTTGCATTGTTTTTGCTTTTTTTTTCCATATGGAATTCTTGTTGTTTAAAATTTTATTTTTATCCAAAAGATTTTCTCATTTTTGTCTTCCCTCTTTTGAATTTATTTTCTCAAATTGTTTTCTTTTTTTTTTTTATTTGTTTTATATTTGTCATTTTATTTTTTATTTTTTTTACAAAAGTTCAAGTTTTAAGTGCCAAAAAAACAAACAAAATACCAAAATATATACATACATATAATAATAAAAATAATAATAACAATAAAGAGAAATAATATTTATATTAAAAAAAGAAAAATTAAATACTCATACAAGAGACAGAATACAAGTATGTATTTACTTCTTATGTACATTATTTAACAAAAATTAAATTCATTTTTAATTAAAAAAAAATAATTTGAACTGAAAACCAAACCAAAAAAAAAAAAAATAAGAAAACCAAATGCTTTGCAAGTTAGAAACCCAATAGTGTTAACGAAAATTTTCAATATTTTTTCATTTAATTAAATTATTAAGTACCTATAACAAAATTTAAAATAAGAAAAATAAAAACCAAAAATAGTGTTTATTTAATTTTTCATTACTATTGTAATTTTTAGTATAAAAGAAGAAGATGAGATTAAAAATGTCAATAAATAATTTATAGTAGAAATTTAAAAAAATCAAACAAAAACCAAAATACAAGTGTCAATTTATTATGAACAATTTTTGTTTTTTTTCTTTGTTACCTTAGACCTTAAAATTTGTCTTTTCTATATACATGTTAAGAATTTAAAATCAAATCTTATATACCTAAGTATTTTCATAATAAAATTATAGTGTTGCAAATGTTTTCCATTTTAAGCCAAATCTAAAAAAAAAAAATTAACAAATTATTTACAATATAAATAATACCTTAATTATTTATTATTAAAAATTAAAATACATAAAAAATAATTTTAAAAGCATTAAAATTAATAAAAAAACTTGTAAAATTCTTAATAAAAATTTCTTAAATTTTAACCTGGCTGATAAAAATAAAAAATTTATACAACGTAAAAGTGCAATTATTTTTATTTTAAATTAAGTAAAATTAAAATAATATAATGATAAATAAACAAAACAAAAAAAAAAACCTATAACAACAACATTTTATTTAATCATAAAAAAAAATAAATTAAATTAAAAGAAATTAAAATTTTTTATTTAAATAAAATTCAACTAAAATATTAAAATTAAAATTCCAAATTAAACAAATTAAATTAAATTTAAAATTTCTAATTAAATCAAATAAATAAAAAAATAAATAAAGTCATTACATAAATGTTATCAATAATTGAAATTTTAGTAAATATTTTTAGTAAATTTAATAAATTAGGTAAATTTTTTGTGAATGTTCCTGCGTACCATATATCGTTTCCTACCGGTTAGTTTAACAAATTAAAAAAAAAAAATCGAAAAAAAAATAATATAAAAAATTTTTTATTTATTTTTTTTCTTTTGTTTTCATGCTTCTTTTCTTTTTTTTTTTTTACAAATTTCATTGAATAAAATACACATTTAAATTCATTGATAAATTCATAAGTTTAATTAATTAATTTCATTTCTTTATATTTAAATATGCAAATTAAGTGGGGGCCAATTAAATATTTAAAATAATTTATTGGTGATGCTATTCTTAGGTTTTTCAATTTTGATTTTAGATATATAAAATTTAAATATATAAAAAATTTTACTCGCCTAGTGAGAAAAAGGTGAATGACTATCATAAGTATATTTTTATGGTATAATTTTCGAATGAGAACAATTTTTACCGTATTGCGTATCTCGTCTTTTCTAAAAATTTATTTAAAATTTGACCATTATTTATTTACTTTTTTTTAAATGTGATAGGCTCAGTCTCAGATAACTTCAGAAAAAATGCACAAATTCAATTAAAAAAAAAATGAGCAATTTTATTAGAAAAATTAAATATTTATTAGAAAAATAAAAAAAGGAGAGAATTCTGATTTAAAAGTGAATAAAAACTGAGATGAAAAAGTGATATATATACACGATTAGGTTATAAATTTTAAGGAAAATTTTTAATATAGAAATCATTAACTTAAAATTTAATTATACATTGATTTGATTAGATAATTTCATAAGATTAATACAAGGGCAACTAATTTTTTATTTCAATTTACATTTTTTTTCTTATTCAATAAGAAATTCAATATTTCTGTCAATAATTGTCCAAGTAGATTCTGCTAAGTTTTGATTTAGTTTTAATAAAATTATTATTATATTGATTATTAGATTATTATATTGTAGACGAGTACACTTTTTAACATAATATACGGTCTTAAAACGTATGTTAAATTCGAGAAAATGTTAGTGAACTAAACGCACATTATGGTATATAGTGTTACGATAAGTAGCACATGAGCTTTTCAATTGAATTGGTCAAACCACTAAAGTAATCTTTTTTTAAATATCATAATTACGAGTATTGAAATTGACTGGGTAATCGTTAGAGTTGCGATTTCTGTCACATGTTATATAAATACTTTAGACATAATTATAATTCTATATATATATATATATATATATATATATATGTATATACTTACATATATAATTAATTATCGCCTGTCCTCATATAGAAATTATGAAACGTAGAAGAAATTTTTTTATAGAAACTATTTCTAAACTCTTAATTTTTTTTTTTTTACTTTTTTTTTTCTGTTTGTAATTTATGCATATAAAAAAATATACTTATGTAAAATTGACTCATCTTTTATATTTCGAGGTTTTCAATGTTATTTTGTTAGTCCTTTCTAATAGTAAAACTTATAATAAAAATAAATGTGCCAAATTTCATACGTAATTTTTATAATGACTGCATTGCGCATATTTTTATTTTAATTTTTAATTTATTTGACACTAAATTAAACAATGTTTATACTAAATACTTATTTGTTTATATAATCCCGGGGTCCATAAGAATTGTTTATTCATATACTATAAGTAATTCTATTTACAATATTCATGAAATTACTGTTGGGGCCTCGATCATTTCACATCAATTTTAAATTTTGCCTTTTGTCCCAAATATTTTATTAAAATGATTTCATTCCAGTTTTCTTAAACCATTTCCTTTTAACTCTATAATAATAATGTATGACAGTTTTAAGAACTCTGAATTTCTGAAGAGAATCTCAAAGTAAATTGAATTTAATCAAAATTTCTGATCTTATTAAGGTCGAAACGTTATTCAACGTATTTGTAAGAAAAGAAAAAACAAATTCAAGTAGCTTTAACTTATTCTTAAAATATTTGAATTGTTTTAAAGATTTTTTGCTTTCATATCAGTACAATATCCAGCACAAGTGGGTTCATTTAATTTAGATTTTAAAAATTCCATAGATACAAACTTTATAATATTTTATTTAAGTAATATTAGTAACGTAATAATAATTTATTGAATTTTCAGCAGTTTAATAAGTATCTTAGTTATTTCTTTAATTTAAAGTGAGTACTTGTAATTGGGACATTAAATTTTCCAAGTCTATACTCAAATTTTAGAAATTTTGATTTCCACTTACAATTTTCTTAAAAAAATAATACAATAACAATTTTGTGGTAGGCTGTTTTATTAAATACTTACATACATATTTAAAATTTCAGAAGAAGAAATTCATTTTCTAACATTTCTGTTTAAAGATACAATCTCTTAAATAATAATTTTATTTCCTATGTATGTAGGAAATAAAATTAAAACTGACAATTTTTTATTTTCTCCGATTTATTTTTAATTGAAATCTCAATTGTTATAACCATAAAAATTACGACCAATTCATTATCGATTCTTAAGACCAATTCATTTACATTTTAATGACCATTTGGTTATTATTGATTTTATACAATGTCATTCATACAACTTACGTTTTACATTATGTGTATATACATACATCTGTATATTTATATATATATACTTATATACTTAAATTATATTTATATAAATATGTATCCACTTGGATAAAACGAAAATAATAAAAAAATAATGTTGAAAAAAGAAGAAAGAAAAAAAAAACAAAGGACATAATAATCATGTCCTAATTTTTCTTCTTTGTCATTGCATATTCATATGCTTGTATGTCCTACAAAGGCAAAAAAAAAAAAAAACATAAAATTTTAAAAAACATTTTTTGTGTAAATTACAATTTTACAATAATTTAAACTATATTTACGTATATATATACATGTACATATGTATGTGTATGTAAATAGTATATGTGGTGTATATACAAAAAATGTGTTTTTTCTCTCTGTTTTTAATCTCCGAACAAATTGATTTAGTTTCACCTTGAAATTATGCATTATAAGTAGTTTTTTTCTTTTTTTATAAAATTTTTGAAAAGGATAGAAAAAATTATTTGTTGTTAGAGTGAAATCCTTAAACCTTATTATATGAAAATTATGTGTTATTTATTTCCTATCATTAAATTTGCATCATTATAATTATTTAACAATAATTTTTTTCTAATTTTTTTTTCATAAAACCTGTACTATTTTCAAAATTGTAATGATATAAGTTCCGACGTATTGAATCATAAATTAGCATTGTATGCTTTGCAATTGTGCAGTGAAATTGCTGAATGTTGTTTAACAAGTATACTGCAATTTTTAATTTTTTATTCATTCAAAAATATTTTGTTTACATTTCATTTATTAATACTAAAATCTGGGTAAAGATAAAGAAATTGTTTTCAATAGTGAAACAAAGATAATTTTTTTTTTCGTTATTTTAATTCCTCTTTACGAATTTAATTTTTTAGATAAATTATATATACATATATGTTAAATTTGCAACCAACAAGCAAGTATATATAAATATTTTAATAACAGAGTAAATAACTAATAAATAATCAATTTTTTATTTCAAACAATTTCTCATTCGTACACAAAATTTTCTTTATTTATTTTAAAATAGCTATGATGAATCACAAATATATATATATATATATATATATATATATATAGGAAATAAAATAGAATGAACTTATATAACAAAATAAATATTTTGATGGTACACAATAAATGTAATTAATTATACATATATATACATATATAAAGCATTTTATTCCACATAATATAAATAAATACGATATATTTTTTTTTTCAATGATTATTTTATTTCCTATAAAATACGATATGAAATAATTTGAAAATTTCAAAATCTATAAAATAAAATACAAGAGCCATATATGTATAATACTATCTATGTATGTATATCTAATTATATAAATATATAAATATATAATGTATTTATATAGGCATATGTAGGTATGTATGTATGAAAGTGTTTTTAAAAATTCATACACAGCTGTTCTGAAAGTAAAATGAATTAAAAACAAATGTTATGCAACATTCTTGCATACTTTTAGGGGAACATGTAGTAAATAACTTCATTCATATTTATATTATTTACGTTCTTATTTTTCTAATCAATGCAATCTCCATTTGGGAATTAAAATACACTACTTCAATTAATAAATTTTAAAATTTCAATTTTTAATATAAATAAAAATTTTTTGTTAATAGACAAATTAAAAACATATTGTATATGTTATCGTTTAAATATGTATTTATTTTCTCAACAGAAAAAAAAAGCAAGCATAAAAAAAACAAATAAGAGAGTTTATTTAATTTTTTCTATACAAAAAAAAAATATATATATAGGTCAAAATTAGGTTATTATAATAAAAATGATATGTAATATCCCAGATGTTTTCTTTACTGAAAATAAAATAAAAAAAAAAAACAAGAAAATAAACGAAATTTAAGTACTCACTTTTTTTTTTATATATTATTTACCTTTATTATGTTTTTATTTTAAACTACATAAGTAAATATATGGTACATGTACATTATTATGATCCCATATATTTACCTTATGTACCCATTATACATACATATTACTACCCTATGAACAAATATAATGCATGTACTTATAACCTTGTTTTATTACTTTTACATATATTGTGTTTCTCTGTTGGATTCTCTTATATTATAGCATGTATGCATAATAAGTACATGTATATATATGTTTTTCATTGTATATATAATAAAAAATTTAGATAATTTACCCATACTTATACCTATGTAATATATATATACTATATTATGCATATTTTATATATATATATATACATGAAGTATACATATATGTACATATTATATTTCTATATAGGAATGTCACACCCACCTGTCAAAAATATATATATATATATATATATATATGTATATACTTGTTTGAAATAAAAAATAACATCCCTGTTTATTTGCATTTTATTTTTTTTGTGTTCTATGAATTTTTTATATTCAAAAAATTTTACTTCTCTTACTTAAATACTTACTTAAATAATAATATCATTTTTTGTTTATTTGTTTATTCTATCTATTATTAAAAATAAATATATATATATATATAATTTTTATATATATACACAAACAAACATTGTCTGTATTTTCATGTATACGTATTGGTATTTATTGTAAATATTAAGTACTTATTTATTTCTAATGGGAATTAGAATGATAGAATTAGGATAGAAAATACATATAGTAAATAAGATAAAAAAAAAAAAAACACAAAATATTGAAAATATCCTTTAATAAATTGTGTTTTAATCTATTATTAGTTTGTATTAAAACTATTTTACACTTGATTTATTATTGTATTAAAAATGAAAATAAATAAAAAATATAATTATATGTGTATGTTGAGGAAAAATAAGTAATTGAAATGAGAGTTTAAAAAATAACTTAATTTTTGTCACTTTTTATTAAATATAAAAGTTATAGAGAAAAATTAAGATTATGAGAATATAGAAAACAAATGTATTTAATGCACTTCTTCAATTTTTTTTTTTTTGTTTTGATACTTTTTTTATTAGATATCTTAAGGTTCTTAATACAAAGATAAAAAGATTTATTGATAAAAAAACAAAACAAAAAAAAAATGTAGCAATAAAAATGAATATTTTTCAGACAGGTTATAGGTTTATTATAATATATTAGTTTTAAGGTGCCTGACTGCCGGCCGACAAATTATAATCCATTGATGTTTTATATAAAATAATCGGTATATTCTAACATACATAGATGTAAAACAATATTTTATGTATATACATTATATATATATATATATATATATGTACATACATATATCCATATAAATAAACAAGATGTCCGGAAACTGTTCTCACCTATTTTACGTATTTTAAAATAATTTGGTTTTTTAAATAGCTTAAATTTTTAATTATAAAAAAAAAAAAGAATTTGAAAATCAATAAAATCGAAAGATTCTATGAAATAAAAGCAAAACAGAAATTTACTTTCGAATAACTATTGAAAATGAAAATTAGGTGTTTTTTTTTTGAGAAAGGAATAAGTATATGCTTTAAATTTCTTCTATTAAAAATAAAGATAATTTTGTGTAAATCCTATATTTTCTATTTTCAAACATCGTTTTCTTTATAAAATAATAATTTATTTTTCAACCATATATATAGATCTCATAATTTGTATTAATTATTAAATTAATATAAAAAGGAATAGGTATATGAACGTAAAATAAGTATACGGGTCTTACTAAGGGCCTAGTAAAAGTTTAGAAGGTAGAAATAAAGTCAACGCAAAAATTACACTTCTATTCTTTCCATTTTTCGTTCCATCTTTCCATTTTTATTAGTAGTTGGACATTTAAGAGTAAAAATTTTTGATATTTAATTACAAATTTTATAACTTAAATGCTGAGAATCAGACCATATATTTTTAAGAGGGTATATTGAGTAGATCTGAATAAAAATATTAAAAGACTTCCGTAAAAGACATGTTGCAAAAACATAGTAAAAATATTAAAGATTTCCGTTAAAGCCATGTTAACGTGATAAATATGCAATATTTTTAATTACTTTTTCTATAAAATCAAAATAATATTGTAAAAAATTGATATTGCAACAAATTAGATTAGTCTCATACAGCGTTTATGAAAAACCAACTATGAAGTAATTATAACAAACAAAACATTTTATAAATTTAGATCTGGATCTACACTTATTGGTCAAAATTATCTATTGACCGATTTAAAAAAAAATTGTATTGTATAAGACTTTCTTTAATTAAAATATTTTTTTTTTTTTTATTTTTAAAGTAAATGCAATTCGCTCAGCAATATGTAAATATTATGGAAAAATAAAAAGAGAAGGATTCTATTTCGTAATTACAATTTTAATCTTATTTCTGTATCATTAATATTATAATTTATTTTTAATATATGTATTTAACAGGACACCTTCTAAAGTACTTTTTTAATTATAATTTTTTTATTGAATACATATTATAAAAAGAAAAATTAGGAAAAAAGTGTAATTCTATTCTTTATTTGATTGATGACGGATTCGATTACAATGTTGTTCAACATATGAATAGAATTATTTTAATTATAATCTGATTTTAAATAAAATTAGAATTTAAACTTAATAACTTAATAAACTTATTAATTGAATTATTATAACAATTTCAACAAGCTTAAAATTATATAGCAAAATTATAAATATGTAATTTTTAACATACTATAGAATAATAAAAATAATATAGATTATAGGATTGCGTCGAGTGTTATGCCTATTAAAAATCTATATATATACGTACTTACTTATTTTATTACAATTATCATGAAGAAGTCTTCATTTTGTCAAAATTGTAACTTAATATTAAAATATAACATAAGCTCAAAATGAATTAAATGAATTATTTTTTTTATTAATTTTCAAATTCAATTTAAAAATAATGGTATTAATCTTTTATTAATTAAGTATTACAATACTTTCATTTATTTTTTTAAATAACCTTCCTATTTGATTCAAATTTCATTAAAAATATGAATCAAAAAAATATTTAATGGCAATCATATCATATGTACATCGATACCATAATATAGACAATCACAGAAATACTATAATCTTATAAGATGTGTGTCAATACAAGTATCTTTTAATTATATATAGTAAATATTTTTAAAGTTAATTGTGGTTTGCATCCACAAGTAAATAAATATTATAACTTCATATAATTCATCAAAAAAAAAAAATATTAAACAAAATTAAAATATTAATTTTGATTTTATTATAATTACTGAAATAAATTTTTTTTATATTAATAAAAAATTTATCATTTTATTTTTAGTGTTGCAACGAACAAGATATGAATCAATCTGTTACGAACAAAATTTTACCACCTACGGAAGATGAACCTCATTATGATAAAATAGCTATATTGGATGCTGGTGCTCAGTACGGAAAAGTAAGAAAATCTAATTCTATTGTTGGAGATCATATACATACTTACTTATTAACTAACGACTATTAGCAGCAATTTCATCATTATTCATTATAATATTTATAATCATGTTTATGTATTAGTATATATTATTGTGTTATGTAGTATAATTTTATCTAGTATTATTGGAAAATTTCGTTTTATCAATTTGTAAAATATGTAAAATTCTATTAAGTACGCAAATTTCTTTTTTTAGTTCATTTGAATTAATTGCATTTTCTTAAAATTATCCATTGTACTATAAAATTCTTTTTAAAAGAATAATTTAATTGACAACTTAATTGATTTAAGTAAATAATTTTTAAAATTAAAATATTCTTTAATTAAAGTATTCTTTCATTTTCATTTTTTTCAATTCATTCAAATTAGATTTATGAACTAAAATTTAAATTTATTTATTTTCTTCGGCAATAGAAATTAATTTTTTTTAATTTAAATTAGTTTTTGATGAATTTAATAAATGAGATTGTTAAACATTTCGTTTTGTTTGTAATTACTTAAGCAAAAAAATTTAGTATATAATTGTGATCTATAGATTGAAACTGATAACTTTTAAAGTAAATTTTAATATCTTAGGGTCTTAGACTGCAAATAAAAAATATTTATTTTCATACTATAGTTCAATTGATTTTTCGTTTGTCCTTCTTTATTTTTTTTTTTTGCTTTAAAATCACACATATATAAGTACATTATATTCATTTTGGTATAAACATTTTAACGATTAGTTTTCACCTTATTACAACTTATTAGCACATGTCTTTTGTGTTTTATTTTATTATTTACATACGAATTAAATAGAAAATAAAATAAAAATAAACTTTGTTCAAAGTAGTTAATTTTTTTATTCAGATTTTTATTTTATACTTTTATACATTTTTTATGCGTATAAGAAGAAATTTTCTAATTAAAAATAAATAATAAAGTTCATTTATAATTATACTAATCCAAATGTCACAAATAATATAAATGTAAAAATATATTACTTTATACAATGAAAATCGTGGCATATACATATGTAATTCTTGGATAAAATTTTATTGAATTATAATTCATAATTTTGAAACAACAAAAAAATGTATTGTATTTAAATGTTATTAAATGTTTGCCTTTCAATTTTAGATTATTGATAGAAGAGTAAGAGAACTGAAAGTTAAATCAGACATTTTACCATTAGATACATCTGCCTTAGCGTTAAAAGAAAGTGGCTATCAGGGTATTATTATCTCAGGAGGTCCAAATTCAGTTTATGCAGAAGATGCGCCCGCTTATGATCCTGATATATTTAAAGCAAAAATTCCTATATTAGGTTAGTTATTTACTTTTTTCAATAAAATACTTTTTGTTTTCGGCTTTTTTTTTCTTTGTATTTGTTAAAAAAAAAATTCAAACATTATTTTAGGTATATGTTATGGAATGCAATTAATTAATAAAGAATTCGGTGGTACTGTTATCAGAAAAGATATACGTGAGGACGGTCAACACAATATTGAAGTAGTAACTACATGCCCACTTTTTCAGTAAGTTAATAATTGATACAACTGATGAAATTTCTTCAGAATAATTATTTTAATTATGAAGGAAAAGAAGGTGATTAATATGAAACTCTTATTGATTATTGATACAATCCTTCTAGAGTAAAAAAAAAAAAAAAAGAATTTTTTTTTTTTTTTTGGTGCTTCGAACAATCTAATATATTACAAGTGTTTTTTATTAGACTACACATAGCTTCACATTTCTAAAATGGAAGCTATTAAAATAATGTAATAAACTTTAATAATCAACTTTATTAATTTTATTTTAATTTATTTTCAGTCGATTACAACAATTCCAAACTGTTTTATTAACACATGGAGATAGCATTGATAGAGTTGGAGATAAATTAAAAGTAGCTGCCAAATCACAAAATAATATTGTCGCTGCCCTATACAATGAACAATTAAGAATTTATGGTGTTCAGTTTCATCCTGAGGTAATATTAACAAATGTTTATATCAATTATCTAAGTATAAGAACGAATTATATTAAAAATTTTAGGTTGATTTGACGGTAAATGGGAAGGAAATGCTCTCTAATTTTTTGTTTGGTATATGTGGCATAAATCCAAATTTTGGCATTAGTAATCGGAAAAGTGATTGCATTAAATATATTAACGAAAAAGTTGGTAGTAATCGTGTTTTGGTAAGCTTAAAAGTTTCCAAAATTTCAAAGTACTTCTGACATATAAAAACATAATATGGTTAATAATATCATAAGAATATATGCATAACCTATGATCCTATATCCTATAAGTACCCATACTTTTATCAAGTAGATATTGATATAATTTATGAATATGCATATAAAATAAGGCAATATTTTATGTTTTTGCATTTCATTTAGCTTACTTAGATTTAAGGTTTATTAACTTTTTTAAACTTTCCAGTTGTTAGCTAGCGGTGGTGTTGATTCGACCGTATGTGCAGGACTTTTAAAAACCGCATTAGATCCATCACAATTAATCGTCGTTCACATAGATAACGGTAAAATGCTTTGTTTTTAGAAAATTATAACAATACTTTAAATAAAGCACTTTTTAAAATAATATTTTTTTCTACTGAACAGGTTTCATGCGAAAAAATGAAAGCGAAGAAGTTGAGCAATCTCTTAAAAAAATGGCTATTGATGTAATAGTGAAAAAAGCTTTTTACCAGTTTTTTAAAGGAACAACCACAATAAAAAAACCAGGGCAACTGTATAATATTGAAACACCAATGCTTTGTTATACAACAAATCCGGAAGAAAAAAGAAAAATTATCGGAGATGTTTTTATGAAAGTAACAAATGAAGTACTAAATGAATTAAAATTAAATCCAGATGAGGTTTTCATAGCTCAAGGTACTTTACGGCCTGATTTAATTGAATCTGCATCGCATTTAGCTAGTTCGAATGCGGACGCTATCAAAACACATCACAATGATAGCGCAATGGTTAGGTAAATATTATATTTACAAAGATTTTTGTAACAAAAAAAAAATTTCTTTAAAATGAAAATTGTTTTTCTTCACATTATTTATTAAAATAAAATGTAGAGCTTTGAGAGAAGCTGGTCGAGTTGTAGAACCTTTGGCTGATTTTCATAAAGATGAAGTTAGAGAATTAGGTTATGAAGTATATTTGCCACGACATCTACTTGAAAGACACCCATTTCCTGGGCCGGGCTTAGCTATAAGAATAATTTGTGCTGAAGAGCCGTATATGGAAAAGGATTTTTCTGAAACGCAGGTATTTTTTTTTTTTTGTTTTGAGTGAAAAACAATGCTGAAATAACTATGAAATTCTGTTTTCGTTACCCTCTTTTACAAAAGGTAATAGCAAGAGTTATAGTAGATTATAAAAATAAATCGCAAAAGAATCACGCTCTTTTAACTCGGGTATCCGATTCAACAACAAAAGAAGAACAACAAGAATTACTAAGAATCTCAAGTAATTCGCAAATAATGGCAACTGTATTACCTATTCGAAGTGTTGGAGTACAAGGTAAATAATATAAAAAAAAATTTAATATTTAATTTTAAATAAGCCGTTACTTTATTTGTTGTTCTTTTTTTAGGTGATAAAAGAACATATAGTTACGTTTTAGGCTTATCAAGTGAAACAGAAGTTAATTGGAATGATATGATTTTTTTGGCAAAATTGATACCACGTATATTACACAATATTAATAGAGTTTGCTATATATTCGGAGGTCATGTACAATTTCCAGTTATTGATATTACACATACTAGAATCTGTCGTCAAGCGTTAGCACAATTAAGACAAGCAGATTACATCGCTACTGATGTAAATAATTAAATTTACATTTATTTGAATCTTTAATTTTAATTGCAACAATGTTTTAGATTCTCCAAAAAGCAGAATGTGTTAGAAAAATAGCCCAAATGCCAGTTGTTCTTATACCAATTCATTTTGATAGGGATCCAGCAAACCGATTACCATCGTGTGCGAGATCGATTGTGTTAAGGCCATTTTTAACGAGTGATTTTATGACTGGAGTGCCGGTTATTCCAGGTTCAGAGCAATTACCAATGAATGTAAATATTTACAAAAAAAAACGTCTTTTCTATAAATTACTATTAATATTTTCCTTTTAGGTTCTCGAAACTATGGTTCGGGAAATATCAGCAGTAGAAGGCATTTCAAGAGTGTTGTACGATTTAACAGCAAAGCCACCGGGTACTACTGAATGGGAATGATTTTATTTTTATTTTGTCTCAGTTTTAACCAAAATTTCTAAACAAAAAGAGGAAAAGAAAAAAACCAACAAATTCTCTTATATAAAATATATTACAACTTTTTAAATTAAAACCTTCTACAAACAAAAATGAATCGATTTACACCATATTCATTTAAAATGATTTTTATTTCTTATTTTTTATTTTATTTTTAAATACAACGCGTTAAAACTTCCGTTTGGAAAAAAAAAACCCTCTTTCAAGCAAAAAAAAGTGTCGCACGAAATTTGATTAAATATTTTATCAAATTTTTAAATTTTTTTGAAACAAATTTTTGTATTAATTCAGTTTTTATATTTCAATAAAAGGCAAATGATTATGGTAACCACTTTATAACTACAATTATTAAGTATATTATCAGAAATTTAATTTTAATAATTTATGTTCATAATATTTATTGTATATAATTATTGCCTTCAGAAAAAGTAAGAATACTTAATACAAAAGAGATAGTATGATAACAAACTTTTAAGCAAAATAAAAGAGTTAAATAGGTTTTAACTGAATTCTGAAGTTAATAACAAAATTAAAATGTTGTATCAGATATTAAATTAAGTGAAAAGAAAAAATTAGAAATCAAAGAAGAATAAAATTACAAAGAAATATGGAATCGTACTGATAGAAAGCAAATAATAAATTATTAAAATCTTAAAAATAAAATAGTAAAATTTTTTTAATATAATATAAAAATTCTAAATTTATAAAAAAAAATTATTAAACGTGAAATAAATGAAAAAAATCCTCTAAAGACTTAATATTTTTTTTATAATTCTGTCCTGATTAAATTTCGCGATTAAAGTAATGAAAGTGTTTTTCAAATATATGGATTTTTTGTTGACAATATTTTAAAATTATCCAAATGATTACTTTTTAGTATTTTATTTTTCAATTTAAACATGTTTTTTCTTATCTATAGGAAAAATTAAATAATTCACATTTTTTATTAACTTAAAAATTAAATTTTTCTTTTCATTTTGCATCTGATATTTCGTTAAATTTAACTAATCCAGGTTATAAAGAAGCTTCTAATAAAGTGTTCCATGGTATTCACAATATCATAAATTCCACTACTAGATACATTAACATGTATTTAAATAGTTTTTGATGCAATGAAATGTATTTTATATTTTTTTCAACTAAATTTATTATATTTATAAACTCAGAATTAGAATGATAAATAGTACAAGAAAGTATTCGTTTTTTATTTTCATTTTTTTTTATCACTCTTTATACTAAATATAATGTATTGAACTTTCTAAATTAAATTACTTAATTGGCAAAACTTTCAATAAAATTTAAATAATTAAAGAACTCACTTTTGATATGTATTAAAAAATTATAAAATATATATTTTTAAAATGTAAAATTGCCCAAATTACGGTATGATAATAAATTTGGAACGTCTGCTTATATAACATAGCCCAAAAAACATGCAGAAATCCAATTTGAACTGTATAACCATAGTACAGATATTTTTTTAATGTCGTTATTAATTTTTTATTGTTTGTATTAATTGAGATTCAACACTTAACGAATCAATATTTTATATAAACACACCAAAATTATATGGCGGTCAAGAAGCAATGTTAAGAATAAAACTGGAAAACGGGTAATTAGTGCATATGAAGCTTAAAAATTTCGCTTAGCATACTTTAACATAATTTGACTTTCCATTGTTTCTATTGTACTATAAAAATGATTTTAAAACTATAGTTTTAATATATAGTGAGGGTTTAAATATGTATACTGTTTATCATTTTTAAACTAATATCTCTTTAAGGCACGCATGCATTATGCAAAAATAGTTTGAAGGAATTTACTTTAATGACTTCGAGACTGCATTTCAAAAACTATAGGAGATTTTTAGTGTAGTTTAAATTATTTGTAAATTTATCAAGTATATTTTCAGGTATATTTTAAATATTTAATTAATTTTCTCACGGATATGTTTGATTATTGTAAATAAAATCATTATTTGCTGAAAATAATTTCAAATTATTTTCAAACAAATGGTAAAATATATTTTGAGAAAAATATCGAAATGTTTTACTTTCATTTAAAATCAAATTTAAGAATTGAAAAATCGTTTATTTATTTTAAACACGTACCATTAAATCAAAATTTAGCAAAAAAAAATAATTCAAGTTGATATCCTACAATTAAATAAATCATTTTTTGTACATGAAAAAAGTTTAAAATTATATAAAATGGTAAAAACAGTAAGAATATTTAATATAATAATTAAAAAATAAATAAGTAGCGTTTTAACAAATTATATAAAATAAAAACAAGAACGAAATTTTATGTATATTTAAAATATTTACTTGTTAAATTATTGCATTTTCGTCTATATTTTTTTTTATTATTTAAAATTTATAAATTTTTAGGTACTTTTTTAAAATAAAAAATAATAAGAGAAAGCTAATAAAAAATAATAAAACAAAAACAAATTTTTTATTTGCCAGCGAAAAATAAGAAACAACAATTGTGTGAATAGTAAATAGAAAATTTAATTAAAGAAGATATTATAAAAATTATGAAAATATTAAGAAAAAAAGGAAGAACAAAAAAATAATGTAATTTATAAAACCGTCTTTTATTTTTCAATTAAAAAAAAGAAAATAAAAAGGAAATTTGGTTAAATAGTTTTATTTATTTTTCCAATCATGACATAGAGACACAGAAATAAATTGTTCTTATTCTAATTTACTTCAATTTTTGATAATTCTGTATCAACTTGATGCATTATATTCATTCTTAACTTGCGTTGCACTGAATCTGGTAATTTACACATGTCTGACATTAACATCTCTGTAAAAGGTTGCAGAAGTTTTTTCGACTCATCCGTTTTACCATCTAACGCATCTATTATTAATTTCATTTCCAATTGAATTTTCTTTTTTTCTAAATAATATAATGGATAAATTGAAAAAAACAAAATTTTCAAAAAATTTAGCTCTTAAACTACCTTAATTTATAAAATTTGCTTTTTAAATTTTATATATTCCTAAATTACATATTTTGTGAAGAAATCTCTATAAAAGTAGTTTATAAATTTTCCAAGTTTTGTAAAATTTATTGAATTTTGATTAAAATATTTTGAATGCATTTTGATTTTCTTTAATACGGATCTTATGAAAATTTCAATAATTATTGATTATTCAATCTGATTGACAAATTGGGCGTGAATGCAAGTTTTAAAAATGTTTGTAAAAGTTGCAACACTATCTTATTATTTGCGCAATTAAATATTTAACACACAGATTGGGTTTTGAAATTTGAGTTTGAACTAAATAGATACAAAAACTGATAGTTCTATATGTACATATATGGAAGTTTAATTTAGGAAAGAATTTTTTAAGAAACTTTTTATATACATACACAAATGTATGTAGATAAAAAAGTTCATTACCTTCTTCCAAATTAATTACTTTTTGCAGCACAGTAATATCAAATACTTTTTCACCATTAAAGCCATCTTTCTCACTAGGTATGTAATCGCCACAAATTCTACAATTTTCACTGTTTAGTGGATTTTCAGTAGAATATTTTACTTCCTTTTCATTCTTAAATTATAATTTGCAAAAAAGTTAGTTTTTGCTATGAAAACATTGTAATTTTACCTCTTCAAATGGATACGGTGCCTCACATTCACTTAAATTGTCTTGGATGATATCAACGTGATCAATTTCTTTAAATATTTTTGAGTTTTTTTATTAAAATGTACCAATTAATTATTATATGCAATTAAGTATTTACCTTTAATATCTGGTTCCTCAAATTCTTGACGTTTTCCAACTGATGAATTTCTTATATGTTTCCTTGTTTTCATGTGATGTTTTAAATCTTGTGTTCCCCCTGTTGCTTTCAATTCAACACCACAATATTTACAAAATGGTAAATTACTTGGACTTCGTAATAACCAATCGGTAAATCTTTTGTCAAAATGCCAACTTAGTTTAAAACATCTTTCATATGTTTTGCTTTTCTAAATAAAAGTGAATATTTCAAAAAAAAATTTACAACGTATTGTACATAGTACGAAATTTATTAAAATTAAACCTCTTTTGTTTTCAGATTTTCTTTTGAGGACATCAAAGTTTCAGACTGTATTCCTTCTTCCTCATATTTTATATCAATCTCATTACCACTTTCGTTTTCGGATATATTGCGCTCTATAACAATCGATTCACCTATTTCCATTTTGCAACGCCGCTTCTTACTCATTTTAAATTAAAAAGATTATAAAAGTAATCAGAAATTAATTTTTGGAATTGTTTATTATTTGTTTTCTTGACAGCTTTGTATTTTGACAAACTATATACTTGACATTTAAATTTAACAAATATGTAGTTTTATCGTTGTGATTGCCATCTACGTTTCAAAATTAAAAACTTTTATTTTAAACCCTTACTTGTACAAGTTTAATTTAAATATATTTTATTGTATTTCAAATTTTGACCGCAAGAGTTAATTAGTGTGTGTGTGGTTAATTAGTGTTTACCCACAATGGTGAAAAAAAAAATTTTCTTTTTTTTTAAATATTAACAAAATGCATGTAAAACAGTTTTTTTCTTGCTGTCGTCTATCTATTAAATAAAAATTATCCTATTTTTTATGCTATATTTAAAAATTCAGGTTTGAAGCTCCATAACTTATTTTTTTTTCCAGTTTTTGAACAATTCCATTTTCATTCTTTCTCTTTGAGTAATTTGTGTGATTTAAATATTTAATAAAACTAAATCGAAATTCAAAAATAAAAAAAATCCTTGAATTTAAAAAAAAATTATTTGCAACAAAGAATGTATTTAATTAAAAGATTTGAGTGTTCTCCTTTATTGATTAAAAATACTAAAATTCAAACTGGAAATATTTGGAGTCTTTTCTTTAAAATACCTAAGAAAATTTTGAAATTTTTGGACAAAATAAAATCAATAACAAAATTTTCTTTTAAAATTCTCTTATCAAATTTTAAACATGCAACTTTTAAAATCATTTACTTTTAACTCTTTTCGAAAAAAATATTTTTATCTATCTGGTAACATAGAAAATTTTAAAATGTCAGATGCATTAATATTTTACAAAATGCAGTCATTAAAAAAGCAATGAAAAAAATTTAAATATCCATAAAAAAATACAATTGAAACCAATCAACTCGAATTGAATATTAAGAAATTTTCACATCAACACACATTAAAAAAGCCATTTTACAGAGATATGTATGTATGTTACAGAAAAATATAATTCTGATATGACTCAATCAGTCTGGTCCTGCTAAGGATTTTTTGGTGTATACATATTCGTTAACATAATTCAATGCTTCAATAAAATAATTCAATTAGATATTTAATTATTCCGTTAATCAGCCTCAGGGAAAGAAATTTAATTTAATTATTTTGTCAATCTGGATTTTTAAGCAAAGAAGGATTGTGTAGGTGTACCTACACGGTAACGTATTTCAATGTACATATGCGAAAATTTAATTATTCAGTTAATCATTCAGTTAATCAGTCTAATTTTGGATTTTTAGCTTTGACTTCTTAACGTCTTTTAATGTTGAAAGAAAAGGATTCAGATAAAAATTTAATTATTCAGTCAATCAAACTGACTGAACCCTCATTCCAAGGCATTTTTAGGTATTTACATGGTAACGGATTTCAACGTTGAAAAATAAGGAAGGTGTCGTCACATTGGCGGGTGAGTAAACAACTTAAATTACAGTCTTCATAATAAAAGTACAGAATTTTTTTTTTAATTTTAAAGATTTTTCTTAAGCATTTTCTTTATTGTAACTATTTCATTATTCTTTTACAATAGTTTTTTTTTTCATTGTTTTTTTTTTTGGGTTTTTTTTTGTTTTGTTTTATCTTTTTATCTATTTTAATTTCTTAATAATTTGTTATTTCTTTTATTATTATTTATTTAATTATTTATTTATTTATTATCATTATTATTAATATTATTATTCTGTTCGGTTTTTTTTTATATTTATTACTTTTTTTTGCCCTTATTTACTTGTTAATTCATTTAATTTTTATCAAAGTAAGATAAAAAGTATAAATAGTGCCATTTTTCATATGTGCATAATTTTTTAATTTTTTTCATTTTTTTTTTGTTTTTTATTTGTTTTAATTTTTAATTTATTTATATAATTATATCTCTTCCTTTTTTTTATGTATTTATAATTAATTTATATAGTAATTAAATGTTCCTATAGAAAAAAAAATATTTTTTTTTTTTTCGTTTCTTTCAAACCTTGTTTTTCATATATATTTTTTTTTAAGTATTTATTTTGTTTTTAATTGTGTTTTGTAATGGCAAATTGTTCTTTTCAAATTAATTATTTATTTATTTTATTTTCTTTTTCGTTTAATTTTATATTTTTTTTATTTTTTAAAAATTAATTAATCGTTTTATTAATTTTTAGGGTTTTTTGTTTTGTTTTATTTGCTTTACACTTTTTTGTTTTACATTTTTTGATTAAAAATAAATCTACACTTTGATTATTCGTCTTGATTTCCATTTTTATCATACACTTATATACATATAGAGTATATATACATATTTACTTTATACAATTATGCATATAAACTTTTTTAAATATATTAAGTTATATATATATATATATATATGAGTGTATGCATATGGTATTTTCGTATTTGATAATGATATTTATTATTTTAAAGTTGTCTTTTATTTTATTAAATCGTGTCAAAATTGGTTTTTTTTCTGTCTTTATTACATAATAATTAATTGTTTGTGTGGAATGTAAAATAATTTACATTTTTAATTTAATTTAGGATTTTTGAGACAAAATGGTCTTTTGTTTTGCCATCTATTCTTCTTTCTTTATATTATGGTATTTTTGAATATTTTTAAGTGTCTTCTTTTTAGTTAATTTGTTTTCTTTTTTGTCAAATTTCCTTAAATTTATTCAAAAGCATAATTTTTGTCTTAGTTTTTTTTTTTATTTTTTACATTCAAAAAGATATTAAATTAAAATAAAAAAATAATTTTTTTTTTTATTATCTTCAGATATTTTTAAAATAAAACAATTAAAATAATTCGTTTTCTTATTTTTTTTTATAAATTAATATAAATATGTATTATATTTCATTTATATGAATGTGTGTATATAGATATACATATCCATACGTATATAAATATCTACATAAATACATAAAATGTTATATAATATATTACATATTATTATTTTATTTAATTTTTATTTTTCTTTTGCGTTTTGCAAAGCAAATCTTCTTCTCTACAGTATTTTTTTCTTTTACCTATTTAAATTTTAAATTAATTTAGACTAGTTTTTCTTTTTTTTATTTTTACAATTTAAAATCATTTTTGAAGCAGTATTTTTTTAATATTTCCTTCATTTTTTTTTAAATTAATTTTTTTTATTTTTTTTAAATAAGTATTGGTATTTTTGATTTATAATAAATTAATTTTTGTTCAAGTGGCGTTTCATATTTAATTTTTATTAAGTTTTTTTTTCTTTTGGTTTCGTTTTACAATTTCTTTATTGGTTTAATTTTTGTTGAAATTTAATAAACATTGTTAAAATAAGCTCACAGAATTATATATTGAAAAAATTTTTAATGAAATAGGTAATTAATTTAATAAATACAAAAATATACTTTAAAAATAAACATGTTTAAAAGAAAAAATTATAAAATTATAAATTTTGCTTATAAAGACTTCTATTTACAACTCTAGTAAAAATTTTATTTTCCAATAAATGTAAATATGAATAAAAAAGAGAATAATGATTTTACTTGTATTGAAATAAGAAAATTGGATTAAGATTAATAGTTTTCGATTGAAACAGTAAAATTCCAACAAAATTTATTTAAATAAAAAATTTTCAATACATAAAACATAAATTCAATACAAAAAACATTGTTTAAAAAAAGAACTAAGTATATAAAATTTGTAATGTAAGTAAGTAATTGTTTTTAAATAATAGCAAAAAATATGTGGGCTTATAAAACGTGTTGTTCATTTCAATATATTGACAATGTTATATAAATTACGTATCTCATTTTTTATTTACATTTATTTTTTATATTGAGTCGAATAAGAATATTTTTTTATATACAATATATTGTTGTATTTAGTTGATATTGTTTATTTATTTAATTCCAACAATTTATTAGTACAAAGAGTACTAATAATTTTAATTTATTTTCTTATATTTTTTTTTCTTTATTTATTTACTCTTTTTTTTTTTGTGATTTTTTTTGTCGATTTTTATATGAAAAATAGTATTTTTTTTTCCTTTTAAATATTTTTAATATTGTTTTTGTTTTTTTTCTGTAGACTTAATATTAAAGAAATAATATTTTCATTTTTAATTCTGTTATTTTTTTTTTTTGTTTTTATTTAAATTTTTATAAATATTTTTTTTACTAAGCTTATTTTTTAGTGGACGAAAATATTGGAATATTTTAATGCTAGCAGATATTTTTTTCCCATAAAAAAATAATATATAATAAAAATAAAATAATTTATATTTTATACTTTTATTTGTTAAATGTATATCAGTAGTATATATACATATTTATATAAATACATTTATAATATTATTTAGGTATACATTTATGGAATATGTTTTGGTAACGGTAAATAATTCCAAATTTTGCAAATTATACGTATAAATCTGAATTTTTTTTCAATATATATATATATATATATATATATAATATTTTTTTTATTTATATTTTCTTTTTACATTTGTATAGAAATTTGTGATTAAGTGTTTTTTTTTTGTTTTGACTTTTAAAAGTTAATGCTTTTTTAATTTCAATTTTATATTTTGGTGGTTTCTTACTGCACTCAAAAGCTGAAATATTTGAGGTTGTGTTTTTTTTTTGTGTTTTATTATATTTTCTATAATTATTTTAAATATATATTTTTATAGCATGAGGTAATAAGTGCTGCATTGTACTGTCTATAAAATAATAATTAATTTATATATACACTGATGAAAATTAAGAAATAAAATAAAAAAAAAGAATTTCATCAAATCAGAATTTATCAAATTAATTGCAAGTTATTATAAATTTAAAATATTCATTTGAAAAAAAAAATATTGTTTTAAAATCTTCACAATTTAACCAAAACTTTTACATATTCTAATTGAATTAGATTTAAAATCATCTATTTTTATGGTGTTGAATATGGAAGTTTTTTAATATTTAGAGAAATTATAAATTAGAAATGTATTTTGTTATTTTCAAAATAAAAATTTTCGTTGTCATTTTTTTTTAAATTTGTGTATAGCTAAATTC